CCCTGGCAAAGGTCCGGAGGGCTGCGGGCTGTGCCTGCCATGGGTCCGAGGCGTCGCAGGCCCCCACACGCGCTGGACACCAGCACCTCTCAGCCCAGAGCCGCGTTGACCAGGCCCAGGGTGCAAGTGCGGGGCACACCCCCTCCTCACGGCAGGGGCCGGCGGGCGCCGTGGGCCCCTGGCTCAGCACGGACAAGAGGGCGCCAGTGGTCAGCAGCAGACACCAGAACCAGGTGGGCATGGCCGCAGCCGCCGGGGAGTGGGACCCGGCTCCAAGCCTCTGCCGGCAGCGGGAGCAGCCTGGTGGTCCTCGCGCTGGGCCCGAGGACCGGCAGAGCCGTGCGGCGCAGCCCACGGCACCCACACCCACGCAGCGCTCACCAGAGGGCCGGGGCAGGTCCGGCCTCCCAGCCGCCGGAAGGGCGCGGGGGTGGGCCAGGGGCACCCCTGCCTGTGCAGCCAGTGCGTGGTGGGCGAGCTGTGTGGGGGGGCCCAGCCAGGGGCAGGGCGCTCGGTCGGGGAAGGGGCCTCATGGAGCCGGAACCAGAAGCAGATTGAGGCGCTGGCTGGGCAGGGGCCGGGCCGGAGCCTGGAGTGCGCCACGAGGGCCTGGGGGGCTCACCACACAAGCCCTGGGGACCGCCCAGCCGAGCCAGGCCTTGACTGCCCCTGGGGCCTGGCCACGTGCTGCAGGCAAGCCCCACAGGGCGTGAAGGCTGGAGTGTGGTCACCTGCGCGCCTATGGGGTACAGAGGACAGCAGGGAGGCGCGCAGGCCGCAGTGGGCAACCCCAGGCGGGTCTGTTGTCAGCAGGACCAGGCGCAACAAGGTTTGGTGTAGCTCAGCTCTCCCGGCCTGTGCCAGGCCCTGCCGCTTGGCTTCCCAGGGGCTTGGTAAGTGGACTTGGCAGAGGACGTAGCCAGGGGTCAGACTCAGCCCCTCCTGCCCAGGGCCAGCCAAGGGTGCGCTGGACCCCACCCAGGCGGGCAGCACACCTGTGCCCAGCCCGAGTCCTCGCCTCTAGGTGCAGAGGGGCCCAGCAGGGAGGGTGCTGCCCACTAGGCTCAGCGCCCTCAGTCAGTGGGGAACCTGACTGGTAGCTGGGCTGCGGTCACGGCCTCCAGGCAGTGCACCTGCTGGCTGACCACAGAGATGGCCAGGGCTGTCCTGGACAGCACAGTGCACCTCCCGCCAGGCCTTTGGTGAAGGCGCCGGGTGTCCCAGAGGGGCGAGGCGTTGCCCAGCACAGGCCAGTCCCCGACCTGGGCTGCTTTGAGGCCTGAAGCTGGGATCGGTGTGGGCAGGGGTGGGTGGGTGTCTGGGCTGTGGAGCTGCAGCGCCCTGCAGAGATGACATCAGGATGACTAGCGAGGATGAGTGGCAGCAGCCCCCCAGGATGAGATGAGGCAGTGAGCAGGCGGCCTGACCCGGGCGCAGCAGGCAAGTGGGGTGGCCTTGCAGAGCTGTGGTCCTGGCCGGAAGGACTAGTTCTGGGCAGAGCCCTGAGGGCCGCCTGCAGGGAGCTGCAGGTGTCCTGCCTGCCCTCAGCTGAGAATGAGCCCAGGCAGTGGCCGGCTGGGCAGGACTGAGGGCGGCCGGGCGACTCAGGCTCAGAACCAGCACTGTCTGGCCACCCGCCCAAGCTCCCATATTCCCGCTGCAGACCCCACTTCCTCCACATGGGCTGACCCCCGGGGTGCAGCTGTGACAAGCCCTTCTAGTTGCCAGAAGTGAGTCTGACCACCTGGCCACTGGGGGAGTGTGGGGGACGGACAGTCCATCACTCTCTTCTTGGGTCCAGGCCACCTCTGGGCAGGGGAAGCCGGGCAGCCTCGCCCACCCCCTTGGCAGTCTGCCAGTGGCCGCCTCGAGGACCTGTCCCGTGTCTTCCAGAATGGGTGGGAGGTGGCGTGCAGGCTGAGCCTGCTTCTGAGCGCACCTAGAGCTGGCCTGCCCCAGGGACGGGACCTGCACCCCCAGAGCCTGGCAGATGGTGAGAGACCGACCCTGCCCCCAACCCTGGCCAGGAGCATCTGGGTAGGGCGCGAAGGGACTGAGGGGGCGAGAGGGACCTGGGACCTCCCCACAAAGCGAACACCTGAGCCTCAGCCTGTGCCAAGGCCTGCTGTCCTCCTCACTGACCGCCAGGCCTGCACGCTCACATCCATCCAGACCTTTATTTAGTGGATCATACCTTGATGGACTTCCAACCACAGGGGGCCCGGCGGGCATGGCTGGCTGGCCGTCTCGCCCCGAGTCTGTGCCCTACTGTCACCCTGCACACCCAAGTGTCCGCGGGCACCCATGCCCACCTGTGTGCCCAGCCAGTCAGAGACCAGCCAGGGGTGGAAAGGGGCAGTCACTGGTGGGTTCCCACGAAGCTCAGGGGTCTCAGCTCCTGCTGCTCCCGGCACTGCTCGGTGGTCAGGGGTCCCAGGCCCATGCCCAATGCCAGGGAGGGGTTGCAAGGGGGAGTGCGGCGGGCGGGCAGGCAGGCCTGGGGCGCACATGCCAAAGACCTTGGGGCTGCACCCTGGGTGGGCTCCTGCACTGGGGCGCCACTACCGAGTGGACTGGTCGGTTTGTGGTGATGCCCCGGGTAGGACCGCACCCCCATCCTGCCCCCGGGCTAGCGCAAAATAGGGCAGGCAGGCTCCCGGCCGCGTAGGACCCCAGGGGCCCACCCAGACCCCCACCCCAAGAAAGCCGCAGCAGGGCAGCAGCGGCTGGCGCCTGCCCAAAGCACTCAGCCGGCCCAGAGGCGGGGCTGCCGGGACAGGGCGCACAGGGAGCTGCAGAACCCAGCATGGGCACAGGAGCCCTGGAGGAGCAGCGTGAGTCCGCCCAGCCCGTCCCTCTTGGGCATCCCGCCCCTGGGCCAACAGCCAGAGCTGTCCACCTGCTGCAGCCCTCAGTGCAAGGTGGCCCCTGGGCTTCCGGGTCTGACTGCAGGGGTCACAGCCCGATGGCCGAGGCCGCGCCGTGCCCACCCCCAGAAAGGCCCCGCGGCAGGCTTCCCCGGCTCCTCCAGGACCAGTGCCAGTGTCCAGCCCCGGGGGGGCCAGCGTGGGCGCCACCAGGGCCGCAGCTCCCGGGCAGGCCTGGGCCTGCACAGCCAGCAGAGCAGGCAGCACCTCGCATCTCCCCCGCCCGGGGCGACAGCCACTGGCCGCCCGGCGCTGGCCGAGGCCACCCGGGGACTCGAACTGCTAGAGCCCTGAAGTGCGAAGTCGCCAGCGAGCTTTAGTCCAGAGGAAGGCGGGCGGCGGGGCCAGCGGGTCTCTGCGTCGTCTTCGGAGGCCGCTCAGCTCCGCGTCCCGGTCTGCAGCCCAGAGAAGGGCCGAGGGGCCTCCGGGAGCGCCAGGGCCACCCACTGCCGGCGCCGGCGGCTCAGCGGGCGGGCGGGTCCCGCAGGGCGCAGAGGACGCCCTCGCCCCCCTCACAGAGCAGGCAGTGCAAGGCGCGGCACAGCCCCGGGCCCGGCTCGCGGGCCCGCGCCAGCGGGAGGAGCTCCGCCATCAGGACCTGCGGAGGAGGAGCGGGGTGTCGGCCGTGGCCTGGCCGGGCCGCCAAGCCCCGAGGCCCGCCCCGGCTCCCCGGCCGCGCCTGCGAAGTACCTTCTGCAGGTGGACCTGCCGGCCCAGCACGGCCACACGCAGCCGGAGGGCTGCCAGGGCCTGGAGCTCCCTGGTGCTCGAGTACAGCAGCAGCTGCGGGCCCCCTCCGCAGGGGGCCGGGGTCGCGGAGGGCGTCCCCTCGGGCCACGGCTGCAGCTGCTGCTCCGTCACCGCTGCGGGGGACACGACACCGCGGGCCAGCTCAGGCCACCGCAAGCCTCCAGGGGTGGCGGCCGCCCTGCCGCACCTCTGACTGCCGCACCCCACGCCCGCCCCGACGTCACCCCCAGGCAGCGTCTTACCCGCGCGCAGCTCCTGCAGCCGTTGCAGACACCGCTCGGCCAGGGCCTGCAGCCCCTCCAGGGCGAGCAGCCCACGATACTCCTGCAGCCAGTCTGCAGGGTCTGCACCAGAAGCGGGGCGGGCTGGTCCCTGCCAGTCCCAGGCCCAGCCCGCACCCACCTCCCGCGCCGCGCCCTGGCCGCCCTGACCTGCCGCGAGCTCGTCCCTCGCGCGCAGCCTCAGCAGCGAGCAGGCCTTCCACAGGCGCCCCGCCTCTGCCTCCACCTCTGCGGCGCTGAGCCCCGGCCGGCCTGACTGGACTGGTCAGGGAAGTTCCACGGTGGCCAGGCCCCGCCCTCCCCTTCTGGATGGTCCTCCACCCCGCAGGCCTGACACCCCCAACCCCCGCAAGGATACCGCAGCCTGCATCTTCCGGAGGAACTGCGCCTTGGCGGCAGCGACACCTGCAGGGTCACCGGGCTGGGTAGAGCGGAGCTGCGCCCACAGCCTGGGGGGAGGCACATGGGGGCCCAGGAGCCGGTTACCCAGCGGCGGGCGGGGTCTCAAGAGGTTGGCGATGGTTGGGGAGCGGCCGGGCCCAGGAGGGAGAGTGCTGAGTGCCAGAGGGTGACCAGGGGCAATGAGGGCCTTTTACACCAGCCCCTCTGGGAATGCCGTGAGAGTCCAATGGAGCGTGGAGAGGCCCGGGCACCTGCGGGAGCCCTACAGCGCTGGCACGAGCTGGGTGAGCGCTCGGGGTACAGCACCCCGCCCCCCAACGTTGTTAGCCAGCTGGTGGCGAGCCTTCGCCTCCTCCCCACCCTGGCGGCCCCTCCACGCCCACCCAGCTGTGAGACACCTCACCGGGAGTTCTGCGCAGCCGCCTTCCTGAAGGCCGTGGGTAGCTGCAACAGGGTCCTGCCGGGAGGCCTGGGTCAGGGGGGCCTCTGGGGACTCTGGCCCTGACCAGGGGTGAGGCCGGCAGCCCTTCTCGACTTCAAGAAGTCAAGAGTGCCAGCCTGGCACCCCGCATGGAGGTCTGCTCCGCATGGAAGACAAGGACCTGAAGGAGCGCCAGGCTCTCCGGCTGCCAGGGCGGAGGACGCACGCTGGACAGCCGAGAGGGCAGGGCCGGCCTGGGTGCCGAGGCCGCTGTGCTCTCTGCCGGCTTTCAGGTGCCAGGCTCTCCGCCCTGCCCAGCTCAACATCCTGCTGTGTCCCCCAGATCCTGGAGCCCTGTTGCCTGGGCAACCTACCCCTTCTCCTTGAGCGTGAAGACTTCAGGGGGCCGCAGGGCGGCAGCCGCTGGGACTGCCTGTTGGTCGCTGGGGCCTGGCCCAGCCGGGGCTGACAGCTCAGGCGTCTGGGCAGGTAGCTGGGTGCGCCGGGCGGCCCTGGGGGGCCTCGACGGAGGAG